GTAAGAGGGAGGTTTGGGTTTAAGATGAATAAGCAGAGGGCTGTGGTGCTGGTGATAGGACGTAAGGAGGGGTGCAGACCCAGGTTCAGTATCTACAGTTTATCTCACAGCAAATGATCACCAGTGTGCGATGTTTTATCAGGGTTTCTCTTTTATTTTATTGCACTACTAATTCAAAGTAAAAGACAGTTATACAGCCATCTGGCCCCAGATAAAGCAGACTTCTTGAGAAAGGACAGGCCTTGCAGATTACCTATAACATAAAACCACATTCTCAAGCTTAATTGAGTGAGTTTAGTCTCTTTTTGTCAGTCAAAGCTTCTACTTTGGTTTAAGGTGGTCTGATAGCACAGAGGGGTCGCATGGGTGACTAGCATTACTTATGGAGGATAGGTTACCTTAAACAGGGCAATATACTGTTTTAATGAACACAGCACAGGCAAGTTTATTTTCTGGACAATTACAAAATTGTTTCAATTAAATAAATGAAATAGTCCGAGAATATAATGTTCATCATAACTATATAGTGGCCATGACCACTGCTAAGACACACAGCATAGGCAGCAGATTCAGCTACATAAGAAACAGGTGACAGCATTTTAAATACAGTGAATTTAAATTGGCTTTACTATAAGCAATGTGCTTGACCTATGTCTTCTTGTCTAGCAGGCAAGATATGTGGTCTTTAGTTTACTTAAAATTCCAGAAGCCTTGAATACAAATTTCCATAGACTGTAATGCACTGACTACCCCATACCACTAATTGGCCTGTTCCTGAATCAAGGTGTGCATTGAGATGAAGAGAAATGTGGTAAATCTTATTTCACAGTTCACATTGTTGGCGACTCTTAAACCAGTAAGGAGGAGGCAAAGAAAGGCAAATGCCAAACGGGAAACAATAACATTGCCAATTTTGCATTTCAGTAAAGATGGCCACAGCCCTGCTAACAGAAAGAATACGGACCTACGCCAGTGGCGGATGATGTCTGCGTTTGTATTGCTCAGCTTGATGCTCTCCAGTGCTGCTTTTGAAAACTCCACCTCAGTATGTGGAAAGATCTAACTGCCAGCAGAACGTCTCACTTTCATCATCATTATTCAGGCGCAGATATTTCTGTGCAGCTCTCAGAGAGTTCTGGAACAAGAAAGGCCAGTTTGGAGTTTCTTCCAGAAAGAATGCATTGGCTTTTTCAGGACAACAGTAATTTTACAGAAGGAAGTGAATACCTAAATACTTCTGCCAGAAGAAACACAGAGAGAACTTTGATGAATCTGTCATAGGAAGAGTCTGCTTGGTGACCACCAAGAACAGACCAGGTGGGCATGAGCCTGCAGCAGGAGGAAAACAGAAAAGCTGGAGATGTGAAAGAGGCAAGGAAACAGTCTGAGCTGAAGCTGTTGAGTGAAACAGCTATAGAGTGTAAACTATTTCAATAACCCTCCAAACATCGGTTCAGACACTGTTCCAGAGAGTTCCAGAGAGGCAGTAGTCACAATGTGGATCTATGTAAAAACCATTGAGTCTTCTCCACATGGTGTAATGAAAACCAGATGTGGCAGTCCTTTACCATCAGGAATTAGTGATCAGTAAAGTCAGTGCCCTAACCCTCAATATATCCCTGACCCTAAAACATGCCGAATCTCTTCTGTGGTAAACATTGTGTTTTGCTATGATCCTATTATGTCTCTTGAAATAATCAGAATTGGTTACAGAACCTATTACAGCATCATATGTAGACACAATGACTGAGTTGTATTTGGCTACATATTCTGCTTTCAGACAAAATGTGGGTGATAGTTTAAAATCTGGTTTAAACAATAAGGTGAATTTACATACATATTTCTGACGCCGGGCCAGGTAAACGAGCTGATAAGAGTCATTCAAAACTAAAACATTGCCCGCAATTATAATAAAAATAATAATTATTTGGATTTTTCATTGCAAAGAAGTGCATCCCAAAGTGTCTTGCACACAGTTTGGGTGCAACCCCTACCTATGAACCAGCAGCCACACTGCCAGCTGGGTAGGATACATTTCCTATAACAGGGGCAGGAGAGCAGAAAATGTTGAAATGCGAGAGGGGAGGCTCTCTTTGGCATTCAGACTGCTGATCCCATGCAGGTGCTGTGTGCTGTAACTTTGTCTTCAATTTATGCAAATTTTAAACTGCAAGCAAATGTCAGCATTTATGCAGTAGCTCTGCATTTTGCTTAGTCAGTTTTCTTAAATCCATCGTTTCTCTCCTTGGTAGATGTTTGAAAGTCTTCATTAAATCCAATGAAAATCAGAAGTTTGCTGTTGATTCAGACTGCTGTGAAATTAAATGTCATTGAAGCTCTTTGGCATTGACACAGAGTTATTAAAAAAAAAGAAATAGCACCAGACAGAAAGACAGATAGAGAGGTGGACATGCACAGACAGGCAGGATGTCAGATAATCAACTGTGCAATATGGATACAAGAGACCTTCTGGGTATAGTGGTGAAACAACTGTTAAAATGCCATTTTGATGAAGGCCAACATGTAACAGCAAAAGGCGACCAAAACACTCCTGCTGTCTTTACAGAGGGCCCCTCAACAGGTTAATTATTTTAATTGCTGTTCAGCATTTGGATTAGTTTTCTAAATCCTAGTGTGGCCTAATCCCTTCCTGATCCTATTAATAGGAAAAGTCTGCTCCCTCCTATCTTGTACTGTATCCATTTTCTTACCATGTTTCTCACCAGGTCTGGTCGGCAGTTGAATTAGAAAATGGATTAGCTGCAGAACATAAAATAGTGGGTGAATTGACTGTGAAGAAATTGAAACTAAACTAAATACCCCACTTGTGTTATATCCAAGTGAATCTTAAACTCTAAATGAACTGAGCCTTTAGAGTGGTTTTAGAAAACCAGATATCCACATCCACACAGAACAGGGCACGACAACAGTGTTCTAGTGTAAAAAAACACATGACAAAAGCTTAAGTGCAGGTAACATACTGTAAACACAGGTAAACTGTAGTTGTGTAGCTGACTTTTCCCCTTTGTAACAAAAAACAGCATTGTGTTCTTTTTAGTCATTACGGAAGTTTCATTTCCCTGTGAGATCAAAACAGCAAGGTTTATAGATAATATGTAAATAAAAGTATTTATTTAAATCATATCAAACGTTAAATCAGTTCATAGCTGCTGTGCAAACACATTATACCTCGTACCCTCTAGTTTATGAGTGGCACAACGCAGCCTGATTTCCAGAAACCATATCTCTTCAGACTCAGCTATATCGGACCTGGAAAAATATTATATTTGTTTACACAATTTTCCAACCTTGCCCTCCCACGCTTCACACCAGAGAAAAGCATTAGACTGGTCTAATAAGGAAGAAAGTAATTGAATATTGAGAGTAAGACAATAAATATGATTCTAAGGCCTTCAAAAACTGGATTCTGACAGTCCAGTCCTCTTAGTCCAGTCCAGGTGATTCCAACAGTATACAGAATTCTGTCCTTTCCATGTCTTTTTGTATGTAATAAGTGCTGAGAAAACCTTAAAAGTTACTGCAGCTGAAGAGAAATGCACTATAGTAAAACTGAATGGAAAAAAAACTAGATCTGCCTATGGTAAGTCCAGCTCCAAAAGAGTCTTCAGCTTCAGGACAAGATGCAATTGGTCCAGAAAGGTGAATCCGAGTAACAAGCCCCTGCTTTATTTTTTTGACATGTGACAGCAAGGATGATGAAAATGTAGCTGGGAGCCAAGAGGTTTCCTTTTAATTGGATTATGGTTGGTTGCGTTCATCCATTAAAATACCTGGTTAAAGGAAATGCAACTCTCTTATCTGTTAGTTATAATCACCCGATCTTTAACGTGCAATTAGTCCTGTTATAACTAGGCAGGGCACCTCCTGTGTCCCACCTCACTCAGAGCTGTCACTCACAGCAGCCGTCAGTCACTGGTAGTGCCATTAAAAAGGTAGCAGGCGAAGCGGAGATGGGGGATGCCCAGCACAATGCTGGCAGACCGAGTGTCAGTGCCCGCCGTGCCAGGCGCGGGGGTCCAGGCGGCCGAGGGAGTCCTCGTCGCAGTCCGGGGCCTGTGAGTGCAGACACTTGTCCATCTTGCGCCGGAGTCGAACCCGCAGCTGGATCCTGCCTCTCTGCTTCATGGTGTTGGCGACCTCCTGGTCCTTCAGCTTGGCGTAGTAGTCGGAGAACTTGTTGAAGAGGATGGAGATGGGCATGCCGTTGAGGATGATCCCGAAAGAGATGCACCCGAATGCCACCAGACGGCCCAGGAAGGACTCTGGCACAGTGTCGCCATAGCCCACTGTGGAGATACTGACCTGTGGAGAAGAGCCAGTTAAAACCCCTACATGTGTGCAGGGTGCAAGACACTTGTATGGATTCCTATGGGAGGTTTCAGTGACTAACTGATCTGGATCCAACTACTACGATCATAAATTCAATCTGGTATATCCATGGATAGAGACCACTTCTTCACAGCCTGAGGCCAAGAAACTTCTATTAACACCGGGTGCCTTAGACTCATAACACCACGATGGAAAGTGGACCACAAATACACATACAAATTTTTGTGAATCATTTTTCACAAATACACCCTGTAGATTCTGAATATGGCTTTAAGCCAAAGTCATAAAAGCCAAACTTTATTTTAAATGTTTATAGCATTAATAAATTTAAGCCTGCGTTGGCAAAAGCAATTTTTGTGCAATCGTCATACTGTACTTTCCTGCACTTGTGAATATCCAGGATAATAGTTCCTTCCACGTGTCAAATCCGGGATATTCATTCCTTCTATGTGTAATTGAAGGTTAGCATACAGGATATTAATTTAACAAAACAAACTGCTTGAAGAACTGCTCAAGTGTTCTAAAACCAAATTTACTTTAACATATGTGTTGTTTAAATAACATGTGGTAGTCAAAACAACTTAATAGACCTTTTCTCCCCTTAAAATCCCCTGCCCTGCCCTGTTGTCTTTTGCGAATCTTTTTTTGCTTGTTCCGCATCTTCAATAAAAATGTGTGAGATGGATGTCTGTCATGTTTAGACTACAGCTAATTACATTTGGACATGGGGACGTGGCTTTGTACACATTTGTGAGAAAGGACTGAAGCATTGCACATCCCCAAACTAAACTATAGTCAATATCCTTAAGCAAAACTTTCAAATTGGAAGAGCACTCAGATAACAGGTGGCCAGAACTTTAAAAGGAGTGTGAACGTTTCTCAGAGACATAGCCAAGATTGGATTTTCTTTCGTTGTGATTAAAGGAGATTACACTATAAAGCAGATGGCTCCAGTGAGACGTGACATTAGAGAATCACTGGTTAGTTAAATTAGCTAGCTAGGCAGTCAGTCTGAGTAAGCTGTCTTTGTTTCAAGCAATATATAACTGTCAATTACCTGAATGACCATTTGCAAGATACAAACCTACATAGTTTTTATAGATTTTAATTCTGGGGCCCAGTTGGTAATGTTTCAGAGGATTTTTAGAAAGGCTTTATCAGGCTGAAGTTCAGCAAGCTGAGATTCTGCATACAAGCACAATATCAGATATTTTATTGAACTCCATATCTTTCAACAGAACTGCTATAATACAGTTTGGGGACGTGCAAAGCTTCAGTCCATTTTCACAAATGTGTACAAAGCCACGTACCTGTGTCCAAATGTAAATACCTTTAGTCTAAAAATGACAGAGATGTATGTCACACATTTTGTCATGTTTGAAGACCAAACAAACTCAAAACGATTAGCCTGACAGTTCTTGGAAATAAAGCAGACATTGTTTGCTAATAATTAAGTTTATTTACCGTAGTATCTCTTAAAGCAATCATTTTAAAAAGGCAATCTAATGTGCCAGCATACTCTCAACACTGCACCAGGATCTTACACATTTTTATCCTATAAGCTTTATCTAATGAAGTATAATGAAATCCTATAAAAGAAGAGATGGTCCCAGTTTCATTTTAAGAGGGTAAAGAATGGCCAAACCAAAGTTACAGGAATAATTTCCTCTTCCATATACTAAAGCTGTGAAATGGGGAAAAAAGAAGATAAAAATCTCTACATTTCTTGTAATAGTGCTTAAGTCACATTAAATCGCACGTGTACATTTGTGCATCAGCTCTGTTAACCGTGACAGATTTTTAAGTGAACGTCTGCTTATTGATCGTTGTGTTCTTTTCTCAAAAAGGTTCTTCAATGAAAGTTTCTTCATCTAAACTCTACACAACTAAACTAAAATAAATCCTTTCAGATTAAGTGGGAAAAAAGTTTGGTTAGGAAGTTCGAAAATTAATTAAAGGTTAAGGGAATGAGTAAGGCGGGTCTGGATAAGGCAAACTTACATTCTTATACTATAAACAGGCGCCATCCTTGGGATGAGACGTAAAACCGAGGTCCTGACTCTCTGTGGTCATTAAAAATCCCAGGGCGTTTCTCGAAAAGAGTAGGGGTGTAACCCCGGTGTCCTGGCCAAATTTCCCCCTGGCCCTTACCAATCATGGCTTCCTAATAATCCCCCTCTATGAATTGGCTACATTACTCTGCTCTCCTCCCCACTGATAGCTGATGTGTGGTGAGCGACCTGGCGCACTATGGCTGCCATCGCATCATCCAGGTGGGGCTGCACATTGGTGGTGGTGGAGGGGAGTCCCCATTACCTGTAAAGCGCTTTGAGTGGAGTGTCCAGAAAAGCGCTATATAAGTGTAAGCAATTCTTATTATTATTATACAAAAACCCCAGGTATAAAGGGATACTTCAGAAGTTGTAAACTGGAGGTACAGTAGACTTCCACCTAGTGGCCACACCTTGCAGCTGCAGCGTTCAAACAACTGAGCTTTCTACTTGCCCGTATGACTTTGGCCTGAGGTCTTGACTCCTGACCTGGCTTGTGTGAATTTTAATTAAGTTCTTGAGATGGTGGTATACAACATCTCAAGAACAGCAGAAAGACAGGGACAACATCACCAGTAACAGCCACTGTGTTATACTGTAGCTGGGAGCACTGTCTATGATTACAATCTAGGAACAAGTAAAGGTTTATTCCATGCTGAAAAGAGAAGAAAGGAAACACAACTTGTCCCTTTCCAGCCTACGCATGCTGACGCAGCTCCCTACTTCAGCCCATGATTACAACAAGATTAGTGATGGTCACTCGTTCACGGCGATGACCATGTGGTGACCATGGCAGGACTTGGACTCTAAAACCCTCTGTAGCAACGCTGTAATTCGGGGACCTGTGGGAAATACACCTTGAGCGTGTTTCTGTCAGCCTTCACTGGAAATGGCCATTTTAGTCACAACCAAACTCCTCTCAAACCTTCACCGAACCGCGCCGTAACTCCTCGCATCCCCACACACATCCGGATTTTGCCTTTACCAGCGCGAGCAAATTCCTCGAAGATACAGAAGGGCGCCATTGTGGGGGTGTTCTTTCAGAAGGAAAGCCGAGGGGACGAAAGGATGACGGGGGAGCTTACCGCCGCCCACCACCACGCGTCGGGGATGCTGCTGAAGGGGGTGCCGGGGACGTCGTGCTCCACGGAGTGCATGAGTGCCGAGAAGCTGAAGATGCCCATGCCGATGAAGAGGAAGAGGCAGCACACCTGCTGGTAGCACTGGCGGATGGTGAAGCCAAACGCCCGCAGGCCCGTGGAGTGCCGGGCCAGCTTGAGGATGCGGAAGATGCGCATGAGGCGGATGACCTTGAGGACCTTGCTGACCTTGCTGACCCGCTGCATGGCCTGCAGGTCGTTCTGGTAGCTGTCGTCGCTGTGGTCGGCGAAGGTCTCGAACACCACCTGGACGAAGTAGGGCATGACGGCCACCAGGTCCACGAAGTTCAGGGCGCTGCGCAGGAAGCGCTTGACGTCGCAGGTGGTCAGGAGGCGCAGGAAGTACTCCAGGGTGAAGAAGATGATGCAGAAGATCTCCACGCACTCCATGTAGGTCTTCCCGTGGAGGGTCCGGCTCTTCAGCTCCTCCACTGTGTTGAGCGTCATGGCCATGATGGAGATCAGCACGAAGATGCTGGAGATGATGGCGAAGCCTTTGGCCCACACCGAGGAGTAGGGGGTCTCCATCAGGTTCCACAGCGCCCTGCGGAAGCCGCCCAGGAACATGCCCTCGAAATGTTCGTCCCTGTGCTCGGGCTCAATCTCGGCCTTCAGCTCCCGCTGGACCTTCAAGTAGTCCTTCAGCTCGTCCACCTTCTCCTCGAACAGGATTCGGCAGCAGCGCTGGGTGTCTTTCATCCGCAGGCCCCAGTACTCCATCTCCTCCTCGAAGTTGATGGGGCACAGTTCCTGCATTACCCAGAGCACTCCGCTGCGGTAGAAGTGGAAGATGTAGTGGAAGAAAGTGGGGTCGCGGTCGAAGAAGTACTCGTTGTTGAGGACCGAGTAGTCATCGCAGAGCTCCAGCTTCTTGACGGGGTCGCTGCAGAGGGCCAGACACCCGATGCGCGTGTGGGGGTACCGGACCGCCACAGTCTTTGCAATCTGAAAGACTTTGCCCCCAACATTAAGGTTGATCATGCTCATCTTCCCCGGAGGAGACCAGCATTGCTCCCAGTCGTCCTCTCCTACTTTCCCGTCACTGTCCAGTGGCTTGTCCAGGTTGTGCAGGGATGTCCAGGGCTTGACCGAGCTGTCCATGGCGAAGGGGAAGGCGCTCTCGTCATCGTCGGTGCTCTGCGAGAAACTGTCGCCGAACTTCAGGTTGGCGAAAAGGCTGGAGCGCCTCTTTTTCAGCTTCTTCATGACGTTTCTCCGCAGATCGGCCAGCGTGACTTTCCCCTAAAACCGCACAGCCGAAGACAGACAAAAGGCCGAGCCCCTACAGCTGAACACGTCTCTTGTGGGCTTTCCTGACCCGCCTTGGGTGACAGAAAAATGAAGTGAGCAAAAAAAAAAAACAACAACCTGCTTTGGGATTCTGAGGTAGGGTCGGTCGGAACTCTCCTCTAGAGGATGATGGCAGTGCCCACAAATCTGACACCCAGAAAATCCCGCAGAACGATGGGAAGATGCTCAGCTACGTCTCCCTGCCCTCAGTAGGGTCCTCTGGCTGCAGGAGGAAAGACGTCTGTTTCTTCCGAATGAAGAAGCAAGACGATAGGCGTAGGCTTTTTCCCCACAGTGGGGGGAGCTAATCTCATTGCTGCCTTTTCCATCCGCCTTAAGTGGAGTTATAAATACAGTCCTTGAGGATTACAGCAGAGTTGATTTAAGGATTGTGTCCTAGGAAGTAGCAATGCAGGGCAGCAGCCGTTAACTTTTGTTAAGGCTATTACAAGCTTACTGGGCCACAGTGCTCCTTTATCTCAGGAGGTACCATCAATCCCTGGAACGCAGGTCCACTTCATTCCTGCACAAGACACGAGCCTGTCACACCACTCCTTGCCGTTCAGAAAGATACAGCAGGTGTGGTGACAAAACAGTATAGCATTGTGCAAAGGAACAATATGATTCCATGTTGAAAGGAGAAGAAAAGAAACACCTGAAGAAGGCTCCACAGCTGAAATGTTTTCTTTTCTTCTCTTCGCAGCAGGGAATAAACCTTTACTAGCTCCTTTGCAGCCTACGCATGCTGGCGCGGCTACCTACCAGTATTATATTATTATTAGGACTCTAGTCTTCAGAAAACATATTTTTAGAAATTGTCTTACAAACCTGAAATCAGGAATCGATAAGTACGAAAGTGGGAATCAACGATTGGTATTCTCGTTGAAGACCTTGTCTGCTCTTAATAAACAAATGCTAGATACGGCCTTTTTACTGAATTATTCCCAGAGGAAAAAGAAGTACAACATCATGCATTTCACATCGGGTTTGTTTCTCCCATGAAAAGAAGAGAATCTTAGAGCAAACCCCACTGTGGTATAGTACTGAAAAAGTTATTTTAACAACTTGGTGATCTCTATTCAAAGTACTTAGTGGCTGGAATCTCCAGTGTGCACTACAGGGATTTAAAGGATCAACAGTGTTGACAGCGGATTTTCAGTGAAACAGGAACTACAGGGCACAAATGGAAACTGTGTGAAAGTACATTTAATCTGGAGAGCAAGAGACACGTATTTAAGAGTTGTAGTACTGGTGGAATAAGCTACCCAGCTATGCTGTTGAAGGCCTGACTTCTTTCAAGAAACAGCTGGATGAGATACTTGAACCAATTAGCTACGAATTGTTAGGGGTAAGACTGGCTGAATGGCTCTTCTTGTTTGTACCCTTCATTAAGCAGAAATGTTTTTTAATGGAGGCTCTCTGATAATGAATGATGAAATACCTTACAATTCAAGAAGTTATATTTAGACCAGGTACTGTCCTTTTTCAGTCTCTTTTTGGTGCAGGAGTCTGTTGGTCAGACCTCTGAGCATTTATTTTATATGGATTAAAGTGAAACTCTTCTGCTATAAACGTCAAAATCCTCAGCTTCAAAAGAACAGGAAACTCTTAAATACTGTTATTTAAACTGCTCCAAGTGCAGGACATGAAGGGGGGGGTGGAATCCTTTCATATCCACACTAAAACATGGAAGTTGAGCCTCTCGGAAGTAACATTAAACTTAAAATCTTATCCAATATAATAGTCTATCAATTTATAAGTAAATGTAGAATAATGTAATTCGGAGTTTTATTTGGTTTAAGATTTCTTTCATTTCTTAAAGTTGTTACTGGATTGAGTATGTGTTCTGTTAGACTGAATTCAGTGAAGTTGTATCCAAGGCTTAAAGCAATGATAAAAACAAAATCCTCTTCAGCATAAAGATTTATTTCAGTGTTTCCAATTGCATTAAATATGCAAAAGTGCAATAAAAGAGGTTATTCACCTAAATTGTGTTTTTACATAATAAATAATCTACAATATAACCCTTAGAGTAACAGTATACACACTGAGCACTTTGGATTTTATTATTACTTATACTACCTGCTTTTAAAATTCTGATCAGCATTCAAGTCATAATGAAGATGCCTAACCATCTCAACATTTGGGAAAAAAAAAACAGGAGAACCTTTCTTAAACTTAAATTAAGGAACACATGTATATATTTTAAACGATAAATCAGCTGAAATCTATTGAGAATCACCCTACCTAAAGGGAATTATAAAAAACTCGGTGCTCAGCACTGCCACCTTGTGGCTACTACTTGGCTCTACATTCAATTAATAGATGAGCTTAATATTCGGTTAAGACGTCAAGTCACCTGCTTTTATTAAGATCACTATTGCTCACTATCTGAAACGTATGTAAAACACTATAGCCTTCAAGGAGTGTTTAGCAACGACCAGAGTTACAATTAATAGTACTCTACATATGATCTTAAAAAAAAACTTAGGTCTAACCAAACAAAAAATGATTTCAAAACAGTGCGAGCAGTTCCACCAAAACCAAAGAAGTCAACCCAAACCAACAAAAAAGAAACTGACATCTACATCAGACAATGTACAAATGTTAAACTTGCCAAGTGCAGACACACAGAAACATTATTTTACATTCATTTTGCAAAGTTTGTTCAGCGCATTAGGCCACAGCTACTGCTACCACAAAGAAACAGAGGATTCACAGATTTTCTCTATGACCCAGTTATTTCCACAGAGGAGTAAGAGGAGGAAATCATTTAAGATGACAAAATGTTGCTGAGATTTTTTTTTAAATGATGCACTTCATGGCTTTCTTCCTGGGTATGAATAATTGTGTCAAACAGGTCAAGGGATAAGGTGTTGTGCTCAGTACCAGAATGGACCAGGATCCTGAAGATCTGTGCCGTCTGTTCTCATTTCAGAAGAGCAGACACACCGATGCTAACGTACTGCTTCAAAAGTAAAACTTCCTCAAGCGCTCTGCAGCTTCACATATCACAGGCAGCTAGTTTTGCAAAGGTAAAGTCAGTCATACAAAAAACACAGCATATTTAAAGTCAGATGGACTGACTGCATGCCCTTCCTCATCTATGTATTGATCTATCACCAAAGGGTGGGAGAAGTGTATAAAAGGGTCATTTTCTGCAGCCCCTAACAATCACTGCTCCCAGACAGTGCACACCAACATCCCAAAACCCCTGTGCTTTCACACCAGTACAGGACATCTCGGCAACACAGATAGCCGTCACTGTATTGTCACTGGTAGACCGGTTTGAACCACATCCTCTTGTCAAGACACTGCAGGGGTGACAGCAAGGTCAGAGTGCGTTTCCCTCCATCTTCATCAAGGTGCCCTGTGGACATGAAACAGTCAGAGAGCAGGATTTTAAAGAGTTAGAAAAAGGACTACAGTTTTCAAGAACCGAATGGAAATTGTGAAATTAGCCCATGGATGTAAATCTGTCACCTTTATTGAATAAAGGAAGACAAATTAGTCAGGTACGAAATATGTTTCGTTTTTTCATACAAACACCCAGCATTAGTCTGCGTACATGTTAACTTCAAGAGAGATAACTAAAGAATTTGCAGGGTTTTTGTTAATTCACACACAGTTACATAGACCGTGTTTGTGTCCGACTGCACTTAAATTGTGATTGATGTGCTTGCCATTTATAAAAGAGTTCTGTCAATGTAACGTAAAATATATAATGTTCCCCTGCATCTGCCGTGAAATTTCCTACAAAAATGCCAGGATTTTCTCAGGGCTGTACTCTGGGATAAGGCACAGTCTCTTATTACCATGCTGATCTTTCTGCAGTGCATTACCAGAAACCCTAGCTCAAAGCTCTCCAGCAGAAACCCCAAGGGGATGTCAGTGCTATTAATCCAGTGGGAAATTAGGATGTTTTAAAAAAAACACGAAGAAAACCCACTGTCAGCCAGCCTCATGCAGACGTGCACTGCAGACATCAACAAGTCCACTGCAGCTTTTAAAAGCTCACAACAGTGCCAAAGAGAGGAAATTGGCACAAGCCAGCACCATTATTAAGGTCATGTTAGCCCAAGAGATTCGAAGCAAAGGACTGGCCAACTGCGACTACAGGTACAGCACAGTTTTAAGTGTAATCTCAAAATCAAGAATAATTCCTAGAAGAACTGTTCAGATGATGAGATTTACAGTAACACACTTGTAATTACAGTATAGTATATATGCTATACAGTAGAAACAGAGTGTCAAACCTGCTGTGACTTTTAGAGTACCAGTTGTATAATGGAATGATACAGTTACATACAGTTGATGATCCCATGGGTGTTACAGTCTACTGTAGATTCGATATAGTCTTCACTGGCTGAAGCTGGACTCACCACTGCATCATGCGACTCTGGGAGGCTCACTGGTACCAAAGGGTCCTGGGACTCTTTCAAGGAGATGCCCTCCAGCGTGCAGGGGCTCCTGGGAAACCTGCAGTGCCCTCTCCTTTGCAGGAGGAACCCCCCAGCCAGGATCAGAGTCAGGATCACTGTGCAAACAGGACAGACAGACACTCGTCTCATCTCCCCCAGCACATACAACTTGCCTCAGCAAGTTGTATGTGATGAGCAGATTTTCGGATTCCCGACAACATGGCTAACACACAAGCAGGGCCACTTCAAACACCAGAAACATAACCTGATCCAAAGCTTAAAAGGAAAACAGCCGAGGAGGCGCATTCCAATCTATATCCTGTTCCATGTTAAAAACAGGAAACAAGTGTAGAATGTCTCTAGTCTCCAAGCTCCTTCTTTCTGTACCACTGTTGCACACTCACTGGAGTAAACCTACCAATCACAGCCAGGATCCCATCAAAAATGCCATCCGTGAGGAGTGGAGCCTGGACTGGGCGTAACACACCGGGATCTGAAAAGGAAAGTGTTCACATCACGGATCAAAAATAAGAAGTATCTGTGTAACAGGAACACAAGCAGTGTGATTTAATGGTTAATCCAGCTGTAGTTCAATACAATGGCATTTTTATCTCTGCATATACAATGGGCTTAATGTTCCTTAATGTTATTCAGTCTAAGTAAAAAAAACAAAATTCTAATTCTAATTCTTCTTTCTATATTGTACTCAATAAGGTCCAATAAGGGCACGCTCACCTACACCAGAAGTGGTGATGTTTTTCGCAGGATTCTGCTGTCCGGGCCCCACACAGGCAAACCCTGGCCTGTCGGTGCTGGAACCGGGCCTGGGAACACACAGGAAAGGACAGTGCTGCCCGGCCTGCAGACACACGCTGCTCTCTGCTGGCAGAAACATGTCCAGTCAGCCACACAGCCAGCATCGTTTTCAAACTCAACTAATGCGGACCAACAGATTTCAGCATGTTTAACAGAGTTTAGCTGTGCTAACTAGAATATCAACTGTGTTAAAGGGTAGGCTTTTTGTAAAACAACTGTATTTTCATCTGAGTGACCTCACATATTTCTCACATACAGCCACCATTCCGAAAGACTTGGGAAGACCTGCCCCAGAGGGCACATTCCAGCTTTGATCCCGCTACGGAGCATGTTTGGAAAGTCCGAGTCTCCAATTTAAATGCTTTATTTTCCTGTAGGGGGATCTGGTGTATACAGTTCACCTAGAAAAATGGACTAAACCCATCTGAGTGGTCAATACAGATGGCAAAAGAGCTAAATAAAAGTCATAAGCATGTCTCCAAATAATTACTTTTTTGAAAATGTCATATGAATTTTATAAGAAAAAAAACACAGCTCAGCAGCACAGCTCTTATATTTCAACTGTCACAGATCTGTAAATATAAAGGGTTATGGCGTGTAACCGGGTGTGTGGGCACGTCTGGGGCTGGGAGACAGACCGACCCTGTGGCTGCAGGACAGAGTGAGCCAAGACCAGCCCCCCGAGCGAGCCGGTGTTGGACAGCAGGACGCGGACGCCGGTGCCATTGCGTTTGTCCACGCTGTAAACCCCACAAGTTTCTTCATCGCCCCAGATCACACGGTCCTGCGAGACAGGACAGGATTAAACACGCCGAGCCACTTCCAGCTTCAGCAGGGGTGAGGCCACGGTCTCGGATGGCAGATCGGACATATGAAGGCTCACAGACAAATGCCAACAACAAATCGCACAGCAACAAGCCTTTTATTTTAGCTTGCAACCATTTAATAAGCCCTCAATTCATCTCAGCATTTCATATATTACAATGCTTCTGTATAATAACTGTGTTGCATCCTTCAAAAAATTATAGATTTAAGGCGTTTCCTTTTAATTTTATCATCATTATGAAATAATAAATCTTAAGTAAAATCAGAGCCTTACGGTTTTGCAGTTTTACATTCCATTAAAAAAAAAATCACTTTTGTTGATGACGCCAGACTTTTCGAAAAGCACAGCTGCCTCCATACCTCAAACACCACCAGGCCCAGTGGCCGATCCAGGTAGCCATTTGATTCCGCAACCGTTTTGCGGTGCCGGCCGTCCAGCCCGATCCGAGACAGGGTCCGGAGCCCCGAGTCCGCCCAGTACAGGAGATTGCGCGTCGGGTCTGCGGAGGGAGACCGTGAAAGACGACTGACCTTTGCCCCTGTGGTGACAGCCCTTTAAACGACACATACTGACGACCTTCGATGACAAATCAGTGGGGGATTCTGCCTGGGAGAATGTCCTGCTTCTTCCTCGGCTGGGATTGCTATGTCCCACAGTGATCTCACTTACCCAGGGAGATCGCCACAGGGGTCCATATCGCAGAGGTGACCAGCGCCACCCTGCCCTGCCCATCCATGCCAGCCCTCTCAATCCTAGGAGAGCTTCCAATGTCTGACCAGAACAGGAGCCTAGGAGAGTAGGATCAAGCTCACCATAAGCCAGGGAATTGCGGCTTATTATTAAATAATAGTATTATTAAAACAATCACTTTTTTTTATCATGCCTTACCAGATGCGTTTTGGATTGTGAGTGTATTGTAAGCAAATCTTTGACAATCGCATGGCACTTAAAACTGAGAGCAGGAGGCACTTCTTCACCCAAAGGGCTGTGAGAGCATAAAAAAAAACATGCTACCCCACCCTGTTATTAAAGCCAATAGCCTGGAAACAGCTGGATCCTTGGATCTATTAACTACAAACTACCAAATGGGCTAGACAGGCTTTCTCTTATTGGTAATGGTCTTATAATAAATGACCAAAGTGGACACAGTCACTGTACTGCATTGGCTGAACTAACTTTGTTGGCAATTATTTCACAGACGCTGGCCCACAAATCTCTTGTTCCGTAGAATGCCACAGCCTCCGAGGACTGATTCTAGGGGGCAGGAATATTGACGGATGACAGGAGTTCCCCTGGTCCCTGGGCCTCTTGCTGCTGACGTCCCAAAGAGGAATCTGTACTGGGGCAGCCCAGAGATGGACTAAGGGCACATCCCCAGTCTTTCAGATGGAAGCTCCATATCTCATGTGGAGAGCACGGCAACTCTCTCTGACTCACCCTAACAGGGGCTGCACGGCCACGCTCGCTGGTCTTGACAGCCCACTGATGAGGAGATGCCTTCTGGCCCCATCCAGCGACGCCACATTGACGGAGCGGGTCCGGGCATCAGTCCAGTACAGCAGGCCATGGACCCAATCCACTGCCAACCCCACGGGTGTACCCACTCCACTCATCACCTGCACAGGCACCTGCAAGTTCTTGTCCATGGAGATTCTGGAAGGCAGCAAAGCCATAAGACAACTCCACACTATATGCAATCCCCCACTTATTCAAAAATGTGCACTGCTATGAATGAAGAACTTGTTCTCCTAGCTCAACTACTGGCTAAGCCAAGTCATTTCTGCAGCGAGCAACCATCTCAAGTGCTGTATTTGCCACATAATCCACTGACTCATTTTAGAAGTCCTCTGGAAGCCTATATATCCCACAGAAGCCCCAGTGGTAAGACGCATATAAGAAAATATTCCAAAGCTCATCACTTCCAAAGCAGAGACCACGAACAATGCTTTAGAGATTGGGGCTAACTTCTGCTGCGCTGTGTGCGAGTACCTGTAGATGGCACCCATCTCTGGGCTGCCCCAGTACAGATGCCGCTTTGGGACGTCAGCAGCAAGAGGCCCAGGGACCAGGGGAACTCCTGTCATCCGTCGAAATTCCTGCCCCCTAGTATCAATCCTCCGGACCCCCCCCGGGCTGCTGAAGACCACCAAGGCTTCCTCTCCTGCAAATCCACAAGCAGCGCTGCTCACTCGCGTCCTCCAGAGCAAACAAACCATCATGACCCACTCTGCATTGAAATTTCACGCCAATATTTAAAAGCAAAAAGTGTTGTGAAGGCTCTGTAGTTCTCCAAGACGGGAGATATAAACAACTGCGTATGATCATCTATCCAACACTCACTTGAAAACCTCCTTTACCACAGAAAGGTGAACATCGTTCGCTTTAGAAATGCCAAATACTCCGTGCGATCCTTGAAACTGAACATAAACAGGAACTTATTGGATTAATTCACCCCCCCCGTAAAAATAATAGAATGGCTGCATCTTCCTGGCAGTATGTGCATGTGTCCAGGTGAAAGGGTTGCGAGACGTTGACAGGGTAGTCAAGTTTAATAAGCCGTGCCTACCTGTGGCCTTGCACTCCCCGGTTTTGGGACTCTGCTGGTACCCTGCGTGACACTCGCACCTGAAGGTGCCGTTGAGGCGGAAGCACAGCTGATCGCACACATCGGCATCCAGGCACTCATCGATTTCTGCAGGGAGCGCGAGAGGCGAGGCGCATGGATGAGCAGGGGCTGCAAAAGGTCGGCACACCTGTGCACCTACACCTGCATGTACAGTACAGTATATGTAGGACCTACCAGGAGCAGGCTCACTGCTCCCTAATAAACAAATAACAATCCATACACTTATATAGCACTTTTCTGAACACTATACTCAAAGCGTTTTACAGGTAATGGGGATCCCCTCCACCACCACCAGAGTGCAGCCCCACCTGGATGACGCGCCAGTCCGCTCCCCACACACCAGTTCTCAGTGGGGAGGAGAGCAGAGTGATGAAGCCAGTTCACAGATGGGGATTATTAGGGGGTCATGATCGGTAAAGTCCAATGGGAAACTTGGCCAAGACATCAGGGTAACACCCCTACACTTTTCAAGAAACATCCCAGGATGTTTAATGACCGCTTAGAGTCAGGACCTCAGTTTTACGTCTCATCTGATAGACGGCACCTCTTTTACGGTATAGTGTCTCCGTCACTGCAGGGTGAGCGCCCCCTACAGGACCCCACAAACACCTCTTCCAGCAGCAGCCCTAGCTTTCCCAGGAGGTCTCCCACCCAGGTACGGGCCAGGCTCCCACCTGCGGGTTGCAGGCTGACGCAGCTGCTGGCTGTAAAGAGGCTTCAGTCCCACTCACCCTCACAGTCCGTGTCCCTCACCAGCCTCATGCCGCTGGGGCAGTCGCACAGGAAGCCCATGGGCTGGTCCACACACAGGTGCGAGCAGCCGCCGTTGTCCTCCAGGCACTCGTTGCGCTCTGCGGGAGGGGACAGCTCGGAAAATGGGCAGGAACTCGCAGCCGCGGCATAATACTGCCGCCGAGTGGCGTCCAGCCCTTACTGCAACAAACCCCTCTCGCAGTTTGCCGGACTTGAACACGCAAAACGGCGTGGAGCAAAAGACAGTTGCTCACCAAGTTTGGCAACACTGACACGAAATACTGGAAATACGTGAAATGAATGAATAGATGTATTTGAAATGGGGGAAAGTATATAAATGTATTATACATCTTTTATTCTTCTAATGTGGAAGAATAATAAACAATACCGGTATTATAATAATAATAACAGTATTATAATATATTACGATGATATAACGATCAGTACCTCAGAAACGGCCACCGTTCCCTTAAAAAACGACAGGCCTAAACATCAGTGTTTTGGCTCACTGTTCAAAGCGGGTGTTTGTGTTTTAATTGACCTCTATTTCCAACCTTCGCATGCGAACGGTGCTCACCGCAGTCCTGCTCGTCGCTCCCGTCGGCGCAGTCTCGCAGGTGGTCGCAGCGGAAAGACGGGGGCAGGCACTCTCCCGACCCGCAGCGGAACCGGGAGCGGGGGCAGGCGTCGGGGGAGGGCGGGGGGCTGCCGCAGCCGACAGCCCGCTCATCCGCCCCGTCGGGGCAGTCGGGGGTGCCGTCGCACAGCTGGGCGGCGGAGAGGCAGGTCGCGGACTGCGGGCAGCGGAAGGCGGCGGCGGCGGCGGAGCACTCCCGGCAGGCGGCCTCGTCCGTGCCGTCTCCGCAGTCGTCCCGGCCGTCGCAGCGGAACTGCGCGGACACGCACCGGCCGGACTGGCACAAGAACTCGTCCCGCTTGCACTGCTTCGGGCCTGAGACGGCAATGTCCACATCAGCTCACAGCGCTCCCGGGACAACTGAATGTCTCAACGTTTTCAGTACCCCCTAATGTTTCCAGTCACTGTTCATGGATCCCCAAGACTAGAGCGAAACTTCAGCCCCAGCCCAGCAGTGTGAAATGAACACTCTCACACGGCCGATTAGTAATACAGAGTAAATACCGATTAGTAATATTAGTATTTATTAGTAATACAGAGGTCGCAAAACACCCTTCGTTTAGAACCGTAAGAGAACAAACTGCTCTCAATAACACATTTATATATGGGAGCAATCTGAGTTTTGATGAGAAACATTATATTAATCATTAGTAGGAGATCAATTACTAGGTTATCTAGCCAACCATTTTATTGGAAGCCTATCCCAGCGATGGGCAGAAGGCAGGATACACCTTGGACGGGACGCCAGTCCATCACAGGACAGCTACTGAGTTATCAGCTGCCTATTCAGTGCAGGCAATAAATACTTTATAAACTGGATTTGCAGTTCCTATTCTAAAGCCTTACCAGATCAGATGGGTACTACAGTGGATCTATCGGCATATTATATAATAAGTAGAGGCTAGAATTTCTTTTTGTCTAAAAGGCTTTTTATGTCTAGTCAAAAAAGCTTAACAGATGTAGTTTGCTCAATTTGAAAAACAAAAGAGGTTGTGCGTTTAACCAATTAAATGATGTGCATGATTCCAGGAATGTGTGTGTGTGTGAGATGCAGGGACCTGAGACATTAAACTACTGGAGCAGGAAATTAAATAACCAGGTTAAGTGCATAATGAGAACTAAGAGAAGCTGTAATAAAATCTAAAATGAGTTGCTTTGAGTGTATGGATATATAACTACATAAAAAGGTCCATATATTCTCCTTCTATTATAGGAGGCATTCATTTCTAGTGAAGGTCATAGCACCCCAGACCCTCTCCCAGCACAGTCCCACCTTGCACACAGAAACACAGGAACAACTGAGACACCAATTCACCTGACCCACAGTTTTCCAGGAAACCAGAGCTCTTAGAAAAAACCCACATGAACAATGGGAGACCATGCAAACTCCTCACAGCAAGGGAAGCAGTCCGAGATCAAACACAAGACCCAAGAACTACAAAGCATCTCTATGAAACTACAATACTTTATTGTCCAATTTCTTCCTACACGATGTTGCCCTGTATAGATTTTAATAAATAGAATCACCCCCCCGCCCAGAATCATAACACATGAATAATCATACTGACTTCAGGTATTTCAGCCCAAACGTCTGATCATCCAGAGGCCTGGCTGCTGAAAGGTCATGTGGTACTTACCGCAGATATCCTCCAGCTCATCGGATCCATCGCGGCAGTCCGGCTCCCCATCACAGAGCCAGGTCTTGTCTATACACTCGCCATCTTTACAGCGAAACCCAGAGCAGGTTCCTCTCCCTGTAACACAGCGCACACTCACCCAACACTGGCCATCAGCCCTGAAGCCTACTGCTTGATCTCATCGACTTTTTGCTGCAACTTGGAGGCAGCAGCAAGTTTAAAAAGTTTTTATTTCATTCTGGTTTGGTACCAGCTTAATACAGCCATCAATTGCCATGCCATGTACTTTACCAAGCTTTTACTAATAAAAAGTCATATCAAATAAATAAAAGTATGCGGGGGACAGAAATTTGTGATACACCACCCTGAGAAATGTATTATGAAACACTATGCGCAACACTCAAATATTTCCCCCTCGGTCTTTCGTCTCAATTTACTCTCTTCAGGAGCACCACCAGGTAATAGCATGGAATTGCAATATGAAATGCAACAGTTAGGAAAAAATCCATTGGGACTTCTACTGGAAATGTCAACACAACATTACATGTACGTACAGGTAAGTAAACCTAAATCCTTCAAGGAGACTTTCTTTAAAGGGAACATTTCATGGCATTAAACAGTTACAGATACTTTCAGAATACATTTGCTTTGTAGGAAACGCAGCTGAATTACAAAAATGACATGAGGTCCTAACCCTTTACTTAATTCCTAGTCCTGCTGTTAACCCAATGAATCAGCTTGTCATCTCCATGAATACTCACAGCAATGTGCTTCATCACTGCCATCTTCACAGTCCTCATCTCCATCACACTTCCAGATTGCTGGAACACACTTCCCAGTGGCACAAGAGAACTGGGACGGTTCACATGTCTGGACGGAGCTGCCTGCTCACAAAAAAAGATCATATTACTACTGCTGCTGCTCATGCACTTTTGCACTTTTACCAGCTACCCTAGGGTGATATTTTGTAATGCAAATTCAAAAGGACCCCTTGCTAAGCTTGACAGACATTGAAAGGGTTGCTCGTTTTAAGATGTGCTTAAGGAATACAATTACGAAGCATTGTCATTCACGGGATTTACAGTTCAGATATGACGTAACAGACTTTCTCCCTTTACTAAAAAAAAGTTGTGAGCTGTGATAAAATGCGAAAGCTTGTGTAGAGGTTTCACGTCAAGGTCAAGTTTGCACTCCAACAGGAGCCTGGTACTCACGGGGCCAGCACGCCGAGAACACGTTTTCAAAACGCTCTCTGCCTGCAGTGGGCATACATTTTATTGATTTTTGGAGACCTAAGAAAAAAATGTTTCTCTTCATCTCACCTTGAGAATCGGACAGAAACGTTTTTAGCAAAACGAAAAAAAGTGCTCAGGAAACACTATTATGGCTATAGTTGAACGCCGATAACCAAGACAAAAATAGTTAACACTAATCACATTTAGTGCCAAACACGCCGAACACGAGATGGTACATAAGCTCCAATACGAAGTCTGGAGAGCCGTGCATCTCGAAAAGAGGCGGTGCCATAACTGGCAGCTTCACCGACCAATCAGATACAGAGATATCTGCCGGCCATACGTAATGCACCCTTCCCATCCAATCACACACCGGTAAGGGGGCAGGGCACTTCGCGCACACAAGTCTCCCTCAGTTGTAACCCAACGTACGTACACGTCTTGAGGGCACAGTGGAAAGGATAAGGAATAAAACGACGTTTCTCAGAGAAACGATGCAGGTTTAAATTCAGAGAAATGGACGTCCTCTTACCCCCGGCACACGGCCAGTGCTGCGCGTGGAGAAGGAGAATGAATGCTCCCAGGTGTCTCGCGGCGCGGCTGCACACCATGCTCGACCCGGAGTGACAGCGCGTCGGGCAGCTGAACGCCATTACGTCACACGCAGCGAGCCTCCCAGACCGGTTGCCAATTAGCAATCCCGTGTTATACGGGCAAGTGGCGAGGATTGTGTTCTCAGATGGGCCAGCACACAAGATATTCAGATGTGCTGGTGTAATTATTGTTGCGGTTTTGTGGGAAACCGATTCACGTGCGTTCCCATTCTCTTCATCGGATGCTCAGGTTCTTTTGTGTTCTAGTTTGTTCTTTGTTCTTTGTTCTTTGTGTGTCCGGACTGTGAGTAACTCTTTTAGTGCACCCCTCACTGTACTGATTGTATTCATTCGTTACACTGTGGCTGTGTTGTCTGTGTAAAGCTGCTGTTGCACTGCAATTCTATCTTATCTATATCTATCTTAATAGAGTTAATGATTGGTTAATGCACACTTACGCATACACTTCTCATTGAATTACTTGTGTGTATCTGACTTTCAGTTTCAATGCATCCTTCATAAGCATTCTAGTTCCCCATTTCAAGATTAATATAGACTATAGCAATTAAGCAATTGTGCCAGAATATCCTATTTTATCAACAGTTTTCTGACTTCAAGGTGCAGTATATACAGTACATTGAATGCACAATGTGATACATTATGAATTGGCCTGATACTGCACGTATTGCATCACATTTATTCTTACTCTTAGATAGGCAAAGGAAAAAAATAAGACAAGGAAGATACTGTTTTATGAATCTCATAAAGTACACCAATGTTTTAAACGTGTACTTCATATTAGATACAATATTATTACTATTACATTCTAAAATGCATCTAGAAAAAAATCTTATGAAGTAAGAACTGCAAAAAAACAAGTACATTCCACACTGAAAGGTAAAATAAAATAGTATAAAGTGTGTTTAAGCAGTGGAGTATTCCTCAGGGGTGAATGAAGGCATGGAAATATACTGGGCTTATTGTTTTGGCCTTTGAGTGTGAAAAACCCTCTAAACGTGAGCTTAATTATTACTTCATGTGTACTAATCTAAAAACACAACACACTTTGTATGTAATTTGAAAATGTTTGGTGTCACAATGCAGGACATACCATATAAACAAAACTCCAAACACTCCAAACAAGGATAATGTCAAACAAGGATATGCTTAACAAAAGACCGCATAATTTTTATAGATTATACATTTTATTGATTATATATTTCACTTTGTACAGGGCATCGAGGAACAGGACAGCTAAGGACTTAAACACAGTAAAGCCCAAAGGTTTATACAGTCACTCCCACTGGTAACAGTGCCCATCTGTGGATATCCAGGTCACTCAAGCAGGAGTGGACATGGGAATTGCAGTAAGAACAGAGCAGAGACAGGTCTATCATCCCTCTCAGAGATACGGCTGGTCTGTAGAGAGTTGCAGTTCTTTCGATGGAGGTCCAGGTATCACTGGACGCTTGGCAGGCACAGATGAATCTTGGCTAATTTCAAAAGAGACAAAAATACATTGGAATTAATAATGAAAATTAATTATATTCTACAAACACCATTTCAGGATTAAACACATGATCTGCACATTAAAGTTTTATGTACATCTTTCATCACAGTAACAACTGACTAAGGTTACACTCAAACACATTGAACCTTCCGATGAAGCTTATATGAAGCTTAATTTTCAGTTAAATTGTGTTGTGAAGAATTGTCCCTAGAAAAAGCAAAACATTTATTTATGGTGATCCAGAACATTAGCACAGCTTTTGAACATAATGAAAGAAAGAATGTCATTTACACAAGTATTAATGATGATGATTAGTGATGATGAGTTTATACAAATTAGTCATCATTTGTTTTTTAATGAACATCTTTTAAAAATATTTTTGTAAACATTTCAAACACAAATATTTACATTTCTTCACTTCAAGAAACAAACAATGGACTAGAAGAAAAGTTAGTTTTAACACTATCTGTGGTATTGTGGTTTTCTCCAAAGTATGGCATAGACAGGACCCCTCCCAACTAAGACTTGAATTCAAATTGCTGCTCCCTTGAACAGGCATCAGATTTATAATGGTTACCATCTAGAGTCAATTAAAAGTAGGACCATTTTCACTGTATACAAAGGAAATACTAGCAATACAGGTGTAATTTATATTCAATGTCTTATTTAAAGAACCTATTACTGTTGAAAGGGAATGCCATTCTTAAGTGTGTTTTTATCAGTGTTCCACCTGTTGCACATTAGACACAGCCCAGGTAAGGAAAGCTACCTTTACAAAAGGAAGAGGTCATTGTAGTAACCCTGCCTGAAACAGAAATCAAATCGGATCAGAACAATCACCTGCCAGCCTCCAGTTTCTTTTGGGGAGACAAAATAATTGTTGGAGGAGCCGATTCCCGCCGCCCATCCCGTAGGCAGTAGGAATTAAAGGCAAACTTATGGCTGGGCCCCACGGGAAGGCTGGGTGGAGGCTGAGTCCTAAAGCAATACAAACAGACACATTAACAATAAATTAAGCTTTGTCAAAAACACCATCCAGTAAATATGCTTGTACAATACTAAAGTCACCTTTAAACGAAGGTATAAATGCAGTTAAATTGAATGTTTTAATTTATAATATAATAATACTGTATTTACCTTTTTGAAATCTCAGTGTACCGTAACTGAAGTTTAGCCTGTAGATCCCGCTACAAAACATACAAAAGAACAGTAAATGTTAGCTATAACAACTGCAAAGCGTAAACTGTGCTATTCTGACCAAAATTGAATTAAGACCGTAAAACCTTCATTTTATACCGATTTCCCCTCTTTCTAGTACTACTAATACTAAGTCCGCTTTGTGTTATTAGCTACGTATCATATAAAAGCCTAATAAACTATTCAAATCCGTTAAACATAATAGAATAGAAATAATTACATCTAATATATATTAAGAATGTAGCTTAGTATGCTGTGACTTTCTCCCAACCAGGTTTAGCAGAATGTCAGCTCGTACCTATCCAAATCTCATTCTCCTTAAATCTAAGCAACACATAAGACACACATACAATGCCAAACACTTATTTAAAAAAACACATTTCATATTTAAGTGAAATGCTAATAAAGAAATGCCAACTTGTTATTACCCCAGAAAAGAAATTTCTTATTCTCTGAATAATCTTCGTAGCCGACGCCATTTTTGTTGTCAAGGGCAGAAGCCGCTAAGCACGACGGGAAAATATTTAGCCGCTTTTCATTTAGTTCCCTTTAGTCTTTATGCTTAAAGATAACAAACACGACCGAAGAACATTAGCAAGTCGTCATATGTGGCTTTGTGATCTTAAACAACATATATTTTTCCAAAATAAATTAATTCAAACATATCTTTTTTTTTTTCGTAAAAGGGAGTCGGAAAGAAACGCGGGGCATGATGGGACATAATACAGCAATAATGTAAATTTTAATCAAATTACAATTGTTTTAGAGAATGGAAACCTTGACAAATTTGAAATTCGGTTTATAGTTATAATGAGCAATCCTAAAATAAAATAAGGAACATTTAATGGTGAGTATAAAAAAGCCCCTTCGCCCCACGTGACCCTCTCTCTGTCTCAAGCAGCCATCATGGACGCTAGCCGTGTGCAGCCCATCAAGCTTGCTCGAGTAAGAAAACTCTCTGTACAGTTGCATTTTCTTGTCATTTCTTAACGAACGAGACGTCGAATGAACTAAGTGAATTCTCAAATATCGATTCTGTTTCTTATATGATTTCGAAAACGGGTATAGAACTTACTGTGACCCATCCCATGTGGCCGGGACGTATTTGGGGCGGCCCAAAGGAATTAACCACGCAGTAACAGTGGATTAAACAAAACTGTACCGGGTCTGCTGCGCTGTAGTTATATCTATATATAAGACTTTGACATGTTTATCTATACATACTTTGGATGGTACTGCATGCGGTACCATATTTTAATTATTTAAAGAGGAAATCGGTTGTTTGGCGAATCCGGTTACGTGTGCTCTGCCATGCCATTTACCTCAACCATGCGGTGAAAACGATCAGAATTACTTAAGATCCCTTTATTGGCCATATACAGTTTCCTGTATTAGGAATTTGTCTTTTCGCATACCCCAACTTTCTCTCGATGAGACACAGACGGGGAGAGAAGCTTGGGGGAAGTATGAATTTATATTTAATATGTATATTACTTCATACTCCTTGTATGATGCTCTTGACGTTGGCAATCTTTTAGCGCTGCCTGACGCTTATTTCTAGCTGTTCCTTTATTTTTATATTACGCTGACTCGGTGAAGTATGATCGTTTTTGCAGTAGCCTCTAATCCACATCCCGACACGAAAATGTTGGGGGTCTCGCCTTCGAATGCACATCTTATACGTTTTAAATACTGCTTAATGCATTGTTCTACGTTAACGCGCTTTATTGCTTGAAAATCATAAAAATATATTCGTAGTGAGGAACTCTATGCGATATTTTCGTAAGACGCGTTTACATACATTGTTTTTTTTCAGGTGACCAAAGTTCTGGGAAGAACGGGTTCCCAGGGACAGTGTACCCAGGTGAGTGACTGAAGACTAACGATAGGGAAGTGTTGTCCAGGTTAGAGACAACAGTCATTCCTGACGACTATGGGCAAGGCGTTAGGCCAGATCAAAGCACTATACAAAATTAATCAAGACTAATTTACTACCTTTTTATCAGTCCAGTGAGGTTTTTTTTCCTTTGAAATCTTTTCAATTTGTTCAGGAAGGAGGCTGGAAAGGGTACTTGGATGTTTTCATGCATGTCTCAAAAGTCCAGATGGTCTATAATAAGTTTGCATTCATGCCTCTACCTCTGTCTTGTAAGGATATAATGTGTTCTACAAACCTGCTTTACGATTAATGAGATGCTCGGCTTTGTCGTTTGGTTTTTTATTTTCACTTGTTTAAAATGTAGAACTACCGATGTCTTGTGCATTCAGTGCTCTTTTCCTAGATTTAATGGGATGTGGAACATCTGGAGAATTGTCTTGTCTGGTTGACTGTCCTTGGATGGACATTTTGTAGTGGTTGAAATAACTGGCCACTTGTCACTCTGTTAAATGAGTCTTGGATGATTCCGTGTTTCGTTTAAAAAAAAACAGTCCAGAGGTTTGTTACATGTAGTGAAGACCAAAAGAAGGGGGGGGGAACCATCTTGTGCAGCATTCATCTGTTTTAAAATGTTTTGAGTTTTTAAAATTAAAAAGTGTGCTAACCTGCATTAGTTCCTTGTGTTGAGTTACTATGACGAGTTGTGTAGTGTGATTGATTATTTAGTAGTGAAGAAGATAAGCAGATCTTGGCCTCCCCCCCCTCCTATTCCCAGGTGCGAGTTGAATTCATGGACGATAGCAACCGATCCATCATCCGGAACGTGAAGGGCCCAGTAAGAGAGGGAGACGTTCTCACCCTGCTGGAGTCGGAACGAGAAGCCAGGAGGCTGCGCTAGGAGGTAGGTGCCATACAGCCTGGGCCTTCCTGCCACCGGCTGGGGCAGCTGGGTCATGGGGTTCAGCTGCTGGGCAGAGAATATGGGCGTGGAGGAAAGACTCAAATGCTGAAAAATTGACTGTGGGTCGTAAAGAGTAATGGATTCTTTACTTGTATTTTACAGTTTATCTTTACATTCAGTGCATCATGTTACCCATTTTTCAAATGGGTGTTATAAACTGGATTTGCTGCATAGCTTGTAACACATTTCCTTCTTTTCTTGCAGTTCCCTGTTCCAATAGAAGACATGCCTGCATTGAAAATCCTTTTGTGAAGAGGGCACTGCATATTCATCTGCAATGTGATCTGTGTACAGTTTGACAATAAAAGAAGGATAAAATATTTAAGTCTTTTCCAGTATTTAAGTGTTAAGATCACTGCTAGTGTTGAATGTTTCTAACGTACAGTTCAGGGACTGTTGGCACTATGAGTTGCTGTAGGATGGCAACGTGGGAAATGCATTCCTTTTCTTTGGGGGGGGTCAGACTTTTCACATTACCACTTGGGATAATTGTTTTACCATCACTTCCACTTCAGTATAACATTAAGTAAATATTTATTTTAAAACAAGAATATGAATATACAGTGCAGAAGTATACATTTTGGGAACTGCAGTTTACATTGTAAAATTGGAACTTAGCAATTCTTTTTATTGAAAAGTATCAGGGTGTTGTACATTATCTGCTTGCTTTTTTTTTATTTAAAAAGGCACTTACACACTAAATCACTTTACATAGCAGTAACATTTTCTTTTCAAGTTGTTCACTTCAGGTGTAATACAATCTTCTGTGGTGTTCCTGCAAATACTGGGTTGGTTTAAAAGTTAGTAGTATTACCACTGTAATGGTAAACCTAATATTTAAGGGAAGTATAACTTGTATCTAATATTTTAAATACGAATACATGTTTCTAAAGGCACTTATACATGTTGCATACAGATTATAGACTTTTTTCCAATAGAGTGCAGAAAAGTTGCACAGGGCTGGCGTCCAGTTGCATATGCTGCTGGGAGGGGGTGGGCAGTTGGTGGGAAGTCTGAAAAGCCAGGGATCATTTAGCTGGTGTGGCTTCTTGTGGTTATTTTCGAGGTTCCCTGCAATGAGAAGAGAAAACAAGCGTGTGTGTTGAGGCCAATCTGTTATTCTAACCCTTACAACACAAGAAGCCCTATTCCTTAAGGCTTCTGTGATAAAGAACAGTTTGGTAAAAAAGCTAACTCTAAAACAGGCTTGTGAAGATGAGTGGCTTCACAGACCCTCATCATTAATCTTGAATTAGCTCATGTCCACATAGGAGAGCAACACTGGGGCTGTTCAGCAAAACTAAGCTTCAATGTGCCATCTTCATCAGATGATGAGTGTTCATTTCATCATCCAACAAAAGAGATTGAGAAAATATTTACAATGAAAGAGACCAATTTACATAGCCAACCATTTACGTGAGCAAATCGGCAAAAGTCCCAGCTGCGACTGCACCCTTGACCCTCTCATGACTTGTCCAGAGCCCTCCTCATTACACCACACTGATGTAATGCTTAATGTGGGGGGGGAGTCTTAAGGGACCAATAACCAGGCTCCACCTATGGAATTAAAGGAGGCCAAAGGGAAGTCTGGGCTGTCGAACCCAACAGTGAAATGAGGAGATGAGTACCACAGATGCAGGGCAGAGGAACAACCGAAGTTATGAGAAGTGGGGAAAAAGAAGCTCAACAGCATTAGTTCCAGAAGCCAGACTACTTACAGCTGCTTGAGAGTTGGAGTAGTTCATGTGGGCGTAGAGAAGCACAGCAATGTCATTATGGGAGGCCTCGAGGGCTATGGAGAGGGCGTTACTGCCGTCCTACAGTGCGAGAGACCACAAAGTGAAACATTAAAAACATTCAGCATCATCTGAATTTTAAATTCAGTTAAATACTTGATGATATGCTCAGAACTGGTATTGCACATTCATAAATACCATTGCCAGTCCGAGGCCTGACAACAATCAAAGGGTAAACCCATGCCTATTGCTCATAATCTACCCATTATACTGGAGCTAATTGCTTCTGTTTCAACACTCGTCAGATCTTTCCTCTCTCCCACCAGGGCCCAACAGCTGTTTCCTTGTGAAACTCAATCCACACAACTCTGATGGATGTTGAAATATTTCAAATAATGGTGCTTACACAGATTAGGCAGCTGTAGATGGCAGAATACAGACTATCAACTACAGTGGCTAAAAGCCACCATCATCATCTTTAACCCATCTTAAAACTTTTGTTTTTATTTCAATTCTTTGGTTGTTAAACTAGCCAGCAGTGAGTAAAGATTGTTTTCTCCATAGGAATCTCACATTACAATTCTGCCATTCCCAAATCTTACTGACCAGTCCATCCCTTTTTGTCTGTACCCGTCATCTTTTAGAAATTAGTAATGTTTTAGTTTTTCACCAGGGGCTCTGGTTACCCTGTAACATCGATTGATGCTATTCACCAGGTTCCAAAAGCTAGCTTGCAAGAAATCAAAACACAAAACACTGGCAGTAATTCTCAAATTTCAAATTCCCATCTCCTTGAGGCATTCATCCCCTTTCAACTGAATCCCAAGTTTAACTTGTGGATTTTCTTTGTTCTCTTGTGGTTTGTATTACACCTACAAATATGAGGAAAAAAAAAATCACAAGAGGGGCAGAGGTGATTGAATAAAACTTTCATTGTGGGGGAAATTACTGTAACTTTTTTTTTCCCCCACTCACATACCACTGGTGGAGAGAAAGATCATCTCAATTTAAAACAAAAGCATTTGGAATTTGAAGGCTGCATTCTTGTCTCAACAAGTCAGGACAACAGAATGACAGTACAACTTGGTCTAAAAAGCAGCTTATGATTTAAAGGTTCTGGGGGGGATGACTAACTTGTCTTTTGTAGTCTTTATGGAAGCTGACAAGATTTACTGTAGATAATAAAAATAAATCCTGTGTAGAAAGCACCTGGCATTTAGTCAACTACAGATCAGCTGGGGATCTCTGTATAAGGAGGGCACAGGAATTGTTATTGATTTATATTATTCAGCGTCTTTGTGGCTTCTGGAGTCAAAAGGTTGAATAGTTTATCATATTTTAATGTTTCACATCAATGCTCCCCATCTTAACTGCTAATACTTGTCTGGATGTGCATTATAATCCCTTGTCTTCAGTTCAACCCTTACATGGTCTGGCTAAATTGGAAAGAAACAAGAGAAATCCTTGTTCCACTCATTTCTCTTACCCCCTTCACCTATTTTCTAACCTCGTCTTCCAGTTCAGGGTCGCGGGGGAGCTGGAGCCTATCCCAGCAGGCCACGGGTGTGAGGCAGGAGACACGCCGGACGGGACACCTGTCCCCAACAGAGCTTTGATGGACATGCACACACTCAACACTA